AAATAAGTGAAACACAATTAAACTTTATGAAACACTTGCGCTGGTTAATTCTTCCCACCACTTTTCCTTCTGGATTACGATGCTGTGAATTTTGGGGTATTTCAATTTAGTTAAATTATTTCCGTAATTATACCTTTCATGCCCTGCCACATAAGGGCCGTCCCACTCCAAACTCTTCCTGCATGGGTACAGCATCATTGTTGGAAGGCCACAGTTTGTGACAATGGAACGCATCTATTTGTTCAATATGCATATGCAGTGAAAGGGATATACTGGTCCCTATCCCATTTCAGTGGGAGAGTCCCTGCTCAAATGTGTGTAATCAGTGGGATTTAAAATTTCTTAAACTTTCAAGTTGTTCTTGAACCTCCCTTATTTTACGCTTATTTAAGCTGCCAGTCCACTAAAGACATTCTCAGACATATACAGTTTAATTCAGGAAGCTGTCTAGCTTCTTAAAAGAAACCCAGTCCCCCTTCCTTCGGTATGTCTCCAGTCTTTGTCAGGAAACCATATAAATTCTTAGCACTACTGTTCTCTGTTTTATAGTCACACTGACGATAAAGCAGCTGAAGGGCAGTCTCAACAGACAGAAAAAAAAAGGATTTAGCCTCGAGACCCAGCATGGTGTAGTGGTTAAGAGCGGTGAACTCTAATCTGGAGAACCGTATTTGATTCCCTGCTTCTCTGCATGAAGCCTGTTGGGTGACCTTGGGCCAGTCACTGGTCTCTCAGAACTCTCTTAGCCCCACCTACCTCACAAGGCCCCTGTTGGGGGGGAGAGGAGGGGAAGGCGATTGTAAGCCACTTTGAGACTCCTTCGGGTAGAGAAAGGCCGGGTATAAAAACCTACTCTTCTTCTTCTTCTTCTCTTCATCCAAAGGTATTCCCAGTCTTATGACCAATCATGGAAGATGTCTGTGTCCTGAAAATAATTTCCTGTAGTTCCAATCTAAGAAAGACCGGTGAAACTTTATGCAAGCTTCAGCAAGAAACACTATTTAAGGGGAAGAGTCCAGCTCTCCGGGAATCTGAGATCTTGAATTTTACATATGGAGATGTTGGCAACCGCTTGTCAAATTTCTGTCTTACTACCTAAAAAGAATGCAAAATTTGAACTTCGATGTTTTAAGTTCTGAATCGATTTTTTTCCCCCAGAGGTAGTTTGGAAATCTGTGGAAATTGGGCACTTATTTCCACAGAGGCCAAACTCACGTGTGTATTCAGGGTCCCCCCCCCCCCCGGGGCACAGTCGCACCAGCACCCCCCTCCCCCCTTGCATCCTGCAGTTCAGGAAGGTCGGACTGCAGTTGTCAGTCGGCTTTGCCGCTTGACCAGCCGTGGAATCGGAAACTTGAGACAAGTCCATTTAAAACTGTGTCTCTGGTTTTGTGCGTGTGCAGACCATCAGTGGGAGGGGGACTGAAAGGTGTTTTGAGTAACGTGTGTTTAGTCTGTAGGTTTGTTGCTGTTCAGTCTCATGGCCGTAGAGAGCCTACAGAAACTCTGCAGAGGGTCTGGGATATCCGCAGAATTTCTGAACGACTGCCGCCCCACATGCATTCTTTTTCCTTTGAAAGAGCAGTGTTTTTTCTTCCCACCTCCTGCTTTGGCTTGCACATACCCTTTGTCATTTCTTCTATACAGCAAAGTGAGATTGCTGGATTGGCAGTCGAGGTGGTGGCGGGAGAAGGAAATGTGCCTTTTACTACTGCTTTTTGTAGTCCTCCGCACCTATGAATCTCCCAAGTTTGTGCAAGAGGCACCCAACCTCTTCTGATTTTACTCCCCCCCCCCCGGAGCAGCACACACAAACAGAGTTTCCTCATCAAGCCTTCAATTGTATATCTTCCTAACAAACTAAATCCTTAAATACGTGTCCTCCCTAACAGAGTTGCACTCCCCGTGTCATAAAATAGTAGGAGTAACATGGCATTTTTTGTTTGGTGTAGTGGTTTAGTGCACGGACTCTAATCTGGGAGAACCGGGTTTGATTCCCCACTCCTCCACTTGCACCTGGCTGGATGACCTTGGGCAAGCCGTAGTTCTGATAAGAGCTGTTCTTGAAAAAAGAGCAGTTTCTGTCAGAGCTCTTTCAGCCCCACCTACCTCACAGGGTGTCTGTTATGGGGAGGGGAAGGGGAAGAGTTTGTAAGCTGCTCTGAGACACCTTTGGGTAGTGAAGGGCGGGGTATAAATCCAATCTCCTCCTCTTCTTCTTTTTCTTAATTTCAGTCAATACTCAGATTTTAATATTTGACCTTGAATTTCAGCCTCTCCTTTTAAAACTAAAGAAATTCACTAGATATTCCCTGGAAACGTGCTTCTATCCCATCCACAACCATAAGAAGAGTATCTTCCCTTTTCCAAATAGACTCCTCACACCTGCATTTCACCCCTTTGGATATCTGAATGAAGATGTTTCTTTCTCTCTTACTATCTTACCCTGATGATGCATGAGGACATTTCTCCTGCTCACTCTTTTTCTTCCTCGTGCGTGTGGAAGGGGGCTCTTCTCCCTTTTAGAATTGCTCTTCGCCCATCAAAATCAGGTTTGGGGAACATCTTCCCCTTCAAGAAACCCAACATTAGGCAGGTCAGCGCTGCAGAGACAGATGGCAAAGAAAAGATTGCGTTAACCAAGTCCATCTGTTGCTCTGTGCATTGACCTGAAAGGTTGCTTCCTCTTCCCACTGCTTCTTGCCAATTATCTGTCTGCGGGGCCATCCTCACTTGCCTTCCTGCAGCCATGACGGAGTCTTTGCTTTGAAGAGAAAAGAATAAGGAAAGAAGAGCAAGCTGGAACAAGGAAAGAGTCCCCTGATGCTGCTTATCTTGTAACAGCAGCAGCACCTATGGATTGTTCCCATTGCATTCCCACCTTAATCCTCTCAAAGTCTCAGAAACCCCAATTTAAGCATTTGGCAGAACATTCTCATAGGGGTTGCTAGATTCAGAATGCAAAACCACAGAGCACTCGGGAGAACTTCCGTTCTGTTTGCAGTGGCGTTCAGTGTTCTTTGAATGCTCTGATGATCTGGAATAAGGACTACTGATTAAAGAGTAAACAGATGTGTACCAAGCAGGGGTCATTTCGTAGAAAAAGAGCTAGGGGAACTCATTAGCATAACTCATTAGCATATGCCACACCCCCTGACATCAGGGGCCCGGCGGTGGATCTGCAAGGCCGGCGGGAGTGCGAGGAAGCCCCGCCAAGGCCCTCCCTGGCCCCAGGCAGGCAGGGGTGGGGAGAGGCGGGGAGGAAGCAACTTACCCTCCCTCTTCTCCTGCCTCCTCCTGGCTGAATGAGGGCTGGAAGCGGGGCGGCCGGAAGCAGGGGGCGGGGCTTCATCATGTGCCCCGCCCCCTGCACCTCACCCGGGGGAACTGCGATCCCCCGCATTCCCCCCCGAAATGACCTTTGGTACCAAGGCTTCCTTTCACTTTCCCCAGTCTGTTTGTGATGTGCTGGAAATATTGGGAAAACAACTCTACTGAAGGCTCTGGCTTCCGGCTTGTTTGGTCACACATAAGAGGCTACCGCAGTCGTTAAAGGAGAATGCAAAATAGACAGAGCTTTCAGCATACTCATGCACTCCCGGACATGCACATATGTATATAAAACACACACGTATACCTGGCAATCATGTTACCCTTGGTTGCAGTGCATTATGGGGAAATGACACTTCTTTTTCTTTTCCAAGCAATGTGGAGAGCTTACTTTCCAGGAAGTAAGGTCTTGTATATGTCATTTCTGACTAAGATTTAAGCATCTGCGTCTGGACAGCTGCCCAGAAAATGCGTTGTTCATTCTAGACTTGTGAAATGACTGGAAGTGGAGTTTTTCTTTCTCTCCAAAAGTTGACTTGACTTGCGCTGTTGTAAAGGAATTGGCCCTGACAGCTCCCCTTTGCTTCATCTCGAATCCACCGTGATTGGAAAGCTAAGAAACGTTTTATCCTTGAATTAGTTTTAGACTGGTCGTAAAAAGCCATTGGATTGAATTCTGAGCTGGAGGTTGCTTCTTCCTCATTCAGAAAGAGTCATCAGGATGCCTTTCACGGCTTCGTTGAGAGGGAAGACTCTACACGTGCGGTTGCATACCGGTGCCTTGGTCATTGTGCACCTCTGAGTCCCTATTGTGGTTAGAATGTTGGGCTAAAACCTGTGAGACCCAGGTTTGAATCCCCACTTTGCCATGGAAGCTCGCTGAGTGACCTTGGGACAGTTACACACTCTCAGCTAGAGATGGGCACGAACTGGGGAAATTGAGGTTCGTCCAGTTCGTGGTTCATGAGGTCACATGGACGGACCACAACCCGGATTCACCCCCCCCCCCCCCAGTTTGTGAGCTGGTAGGATTCGTAAAAGCTATTTAAAGCGAATGTTCCCTTTAAATGGCTTTTGCAAGCCCCGCCACCATGGCACAACTCACAAGTGAACTGAGAAGGCATTTAAATGCATGACTCTCAAGTGTGCCTTTGCTTGTGGTGGCACGACTCTCAAGCAAGTTAACTCAGAAGGCATTTAAATGCCTCCTGAGCTCACTGGTGAGTCGTGCTGCTGCAGTGGTGCAACTTTAAAGGGCTCCCGACCGTTGCCTTGGGCACCAGCATGTCTGGCCCATGAACCCTCTTACGAACCAAGCAAACCTGCGCAAAAATGGTTTCTGTTCATGGGCAAACCAATTGCACAGACCGAGGTTCGCGAATTACGAACCAGGCCCGGTTTGTGAGAAACTTTAGTTCATAATTCAGTTTGTGCCTAACATACTTCACAGGGTTGTTGTGAGCATAAAAATGGAGAAGAGAACGATGTTAAGCCACTCTGGGTCCCCATTGGGGAGAAAGGTGGCTAAAAAAAATGAAGTAAAGAATACTGAAAGAATTGTATTTTATATGGTTTAGAATTAAGACATTCTCTTCTGCATTGTGTTTTTTAAATATGTTGGGTGATGAATGTTTAGGCGATAACTGTTTTGCCTGAATTTTTTTTCCCAGCTCAGTTCAACGGGGGAGAAATGAGGCAGTCTTCTCCTTCCCCTTCCAGTGATCGGCGTCGACAGCTCCGAGCGCCAGGAGGAGGCTTCAAGCCCATCAAACACGGGAGCCCTGAGTTCTGCGGGATCCTCGGGGAGCGAGTGGACCCCACCATCCCGCTGGAAAAGCAAATGTAAATTAACTTGCAGTTTTATTGTAGGGGAGGGCAGGGTGGTTGATAGGGTATTCTTAGAAAAATATAGTTAAGCAGAGATTAAATCAGCAGAGCAATGAGCGAGAGACTGAGTCCATGTGTATGTGTGTAAAAGAATAGAAAAGCTTTACTAGAAAGCTAACATGGGGGGAAAGTCCTGGCCCCACTGGTGGACCTCCTGATGGCACCTGGTATTTCTGGCCACTGTGTGACAGAGTGTTGGACTGGATGGGCCATTGGCCTGATCCAACATTGGCTTCTCTTATGTTCTTATGTAAACAGGATGCAAAATAAGAAACACTAGATTCCTACATCTTTACAGCTAGAAAGATTCAATAAGAATGGCAACTCTGTGATTACTGAAGTGTTTTAACTTGCTAAACCCAACAGGGGTAGAAGAGGGAGAACTTTGCCGTCAGAAGCTGATGGGTTACTAGACAGACAGACAGATAACCTTTATTGGCATGTGAACAATAAAAGTACATTTTTTTAAAGTACATCGATCGTAAGGCCAACCAAAATGAAATAGATCAGTTAAAAGCTTCCCTGTATAGAATTGCAAACAGGAGAAAACAGGAGACATTAGAGGTTATGAGAAAGTTGTAACCAGAAAGCAACCACTGAACCTTGATGGACACTTCCCCAAAATTGGTCAACGCCATATCCCAATCTTTTTATATGTTATATGCGGACGACGCTGTTTTACTTTCATGTTCCCGAATTGGACTGAGGCGTCTTTTACATCAATGCTTGACCTATTGCAATAACAACAGGCTAAGACTGAATTATAGGAAAACAACGATCTTAGTTTTTGCTAAATCTTGGAAACAGTTCTTATGGACAATTCAGGGAAATTCCATCAAGCAGATTAAATCCTTCAAATATTTGGGGATCAACTTCTATTACAATGGGAGCTGGGCTACACACTGCAAATGTGCCTCCAACCTAGCAAGGAATAGTGCCACTGCCATCACCCATTTTTTCTATCTAAGAGGCAATAGGTATGTTCCCATGGCTTTAAAAGCCTTTAAAGCAAAATCCAGCCCACAATTCCTCTATGGAGCTCCCATATGGATAAGTGCAATCAATCAATCAGCTGAGGGACTACAATCTTTCTTTTGCTAAATCTTGGAAACAGTTCTTATGGACAATTCAGGGAAATTCCATTGAGCAGGTTAAATCCTTCAAATATTTGGGGATCAACTTCTATTAGAATGGGAGCTGGGCTACACACTGCAAATATGCCTCCAATCTAGCAAGGAATAGTGCCACTGCCATCGCCCGTTTTTTTTTCTATCTGAGAGCCAATAGGTATGTTCCCATGGCTTTAAAATCCTTTAATGCAAAATATGGTGGGAAAAGTGGTGATGGAAAGTGCCATCAAGGCTTAGCTAACTTATGGAGAAGAAAATAAGGCTGCTCTAATAAGCAGGAGAAGAGGAGGAGGAACAGGGTGCAAGGGAGAGTGCTTTACTTGACCTTTTAGAGATGTAGGCCAAATACACTTGTCTCCCTTGCACCTCGTTCCTCCTTTTCTTTCTCCTAGCCTACTTAAGGCAACCCCTTGTGTGGGTTTCAAGCAAGAGACGTTCAGAGGTGGTTTGCTATTGTCTGCCTCTGCGTAGCAACCCTGGACTTCCTTGGTGGTCTCCCATCCAGGTACTAACCAGGGCCAACCTTGCATAGCGTTGTCCTCCTGTCGGTTGTTGCATGTTTGGTGAGAAAAGTGGTGATGGAAAGTGCCATCAAGGCTGCTCTGGTAAGCAGGAGAAGAGAAGGAGGAACAGGGTGCAAGGGAGATTTGGTTTATTTGACCTTTTACACAGGTCATTAGCATATTAGGCCATATCCCCATGCCTTCCCTTGGCTTGCCCGGGCAAGCCGGCCCTTGGACAGGCCGGGGAAAGCACGGGGAGGCATTTAAACGCCTACCCAATCCTTCCAGGGGTCCCCCTGGCCTGCCCGTCTCGGAATCTCCAGGGGTGTCACTCTCTAGGCCTTCCCTCTGTAGCCACGAATGCAGAGGTTTTGGCTGTAGTGGGGGTGGCCAACTCTGAAGCCAGCCAGAACTCCATTCCTGTGTGTTCCTGCCCAAAAATAGCCCTGGATCTAAAGAGATCAAGTCAGCCTGGGTCATCCGGGTCAGGGCCCTTGCCTATTTAGATAATAGCAATTTCTGTGCTGCCTTTTGGGCCCTATGCAGGGTCCCGAATGCAGCTCCCAACAATCATAAGATGAGGAGCGGGTTATATAAATGGAAATATGATGCAAATGTTTTGAAAGTGTTCTTCCCTCCCCCCGCCCAATAAATCTTTAATTGTTGTGTGGCTTCTGGTTTCTTGTAGATGGTATCATGGGGCAATCAGTCGGACAGATGCGGAAAACCTGTTGCGGTTATGTAAAGAATGTAGCTATCTAGTGAGGAATAGTCAAACCAGCAAGCACGACTATTCTCTTTCGTTAAAGTAAGTATAACTTTGGAAAGCATTTATGAATGTATGTTATTAAGCAGATAATGTGTGTGTGGGGGGGAGTTACAGTAGCAGCAAACAAATCCCATTCCTTCATTTTGATACTAGAAAGGCCTCCCAGTGCCCCACAGGAATTTTAGAATTCCAAGCGTCAAACTGCATTGCTTTGAATGACAGTACTTAGATTTGGTTGTAAGGCTCCTAGGACATGCATGGATTTTTTAGTGGTTTTCTGGCTCCATTAAGCAAAATGCACTTTATCTGTTCTTGCTGCTGATTAAATTGTTTGTGCTCTTCTCTTTCTCTCCACCTCCTCCCCAGCATTTAATAAAATCTTCTGTTTTCTCTTCTCTTCATTCCCCTTCCCCTGAATGGACATCTTAAGTAGTTCTTTCTGAACAAGTAAATTACTATAGAAAAGTCACCCTGTGAACCAAAGGAAAAAAGGCAAAGAATTTCTGTTGGCCTGGCAGCCCTAAGACTTGGCCAAATGTTGTCAATTGACTAATGTCAGATTTCCAGGAAGCTGAAAATATAGGGGATATTTTACCTGTAGTAATTCTTCAAAGCACCATTTATAAGCAACAACCACCTTTAAAACTGGCTTTTCTGTTACTTTGCTTTATTTCTGTTTTTATTTCTTTGTTGTTGTTGTTCTACTTGTGTCTTTTCGTTATCAGATTAATGGCCAGGTTTTTTGCCTAATTGTTTAGGCGATACCTTCAGATTGCAACATGAATACCCTCCCCTTTGTTATCTAGCTTCTTGACCAATTAACCTGCATTAGTTTACAAGGAGCAGTCATGGTTTCCAAATTCTGAGTTATAGGACCGGATTTCTGGAAGGGTTATTTCACTGTGTAGTCAATATTGGACACAACAGTAAATATTAGGTATAGCAAATTAAGAGTTGCCTTAAAGGGAAGAAGAAGGAGAAGAGATTGGATTTATACCCTGCCCTTCACGTGGAGTCTCAGAGTGGCTTACAATCTCCTTCCTCTCCCCACAACAGACACCCTGTGAGGTAGGTGGGACTGAGAGAGCTCTGAGAGAACTGCTCCTGAGAGAACAGTTCGGAGACAACCGTGACTGACCCAAGGTCACCCAGGTCGCTTCATGTGGAGGAGTGGGGGATCAAACTCGGCTCCCCAGATTAGAGTCCGCCACTCTTAACCATTATACCAAACTGGCTGATTTGCTTGGCCTGAACGGGACAAGAAACCTTGGCCTAAAAAGTGTAGTTCAACAATAAGTCCTCTCTGGAAAATGATGATTCAGGTACAAATAAGCATGTGTTGTTCAGTATACATGGAGAGCTGTTGATGCCTTTTCAGTAAGGCTTTGGTTCAGAGTGCAGTAGCTGGAAGCGCAGTGGTCAAATCTGGCGCCTTGTTGGGTGACACCTGCTGTCCCCAGCACTATCAAAGAAGGAAAGAAGAAGCAGGAGAAGACAAGGGTGGACCAGCCCCCAGAGATCTCCACAGTATTGCAGAGGGCTACAAGACAACCTTTTGGCTTTGTGCGGGGCATCTGGTTAAGTTGTGTCCCTCCTTGCACACTGGCTTTGGTCTGGCTGGGGCCTCCGACCTGTGCAATGGGTGTGTATATGTATGTGCACTGCCCCTGCATAAAGACAGAATATGCCCCTGAGCTCTCTGGGACAGCTCAGAGGACTCTGGGGCACATCCCAGTTTCAGGTGTCTTGATGACTCTGAGCTAGTGTTTGCCAAGGGTGGGGTGGGTGAGCACTGCGGCCAGACGTTAGCAAGGGGAGAAAGGATTAGACCTCTTCCTCCCAATCCTGTGCGGAGTGGAGCTCTGCCAGAATTAGATGACGACTGGCGCTTTAGTTTTGGAGGACATATTTATTTGGAAGGCGATGGCCTCCTAATTTCATGGTTATACACTTCCAGGTTCTTAGTGTTTATCTTAGCACACCGCCTGCTTCCTTCAGTCTTTTGGCTGAAGAAAGAAACAAAGTACAGTGCAGTTGTCTGGAGTTCACCCTTCATTCTCCCCCCGCCCCTCGCTCTGTGATTGAATTTCCTCTCTGTTTGGCCGCAGCCCAAGATTTCCCTTTGGTTTCCCTGCTATTGCTGATGTGAGCCTGCATAACTCTAAGCAGATTTGACTCTCTCTCCCCCCCTCCCCATTATTTCCCCCTTTTGCATTCATCCTCACTTGCCATGCATGTGTATGCTTATAATTTCAGATGCAGACTGCAGAGATTTGTGCTGCCCTAGATAATCTGTAGTGGCTGAAATAATACAGCTCCCTCCCCACCTCTCATCGAAAGCATTTAAGTGGTTATTTGGTTAACAGTGCCATCCGAAGCAGAGTTTATATCCTCTGAGATCCATTGAAATTAGCAGTCCTTAAAGGATGTAGCTCTGCTTAGGACGGAACTCTGAAGTTTTTAGAAGCTGCTTGCAATTAGATTATCACAAGAAGCGGGACCCGTGATACTCGCGGGTGGGGGGGATATTCCTAAAGGCTCCTGGTCTGCAGAAACAGCTCCACAGGTAAGCCTTCTCCCTCCCGCCCGCTGATTCCCCCC